GAGGTCGCGATGTCCGCGGGAGATTGCGATGTCCACGAAAACAAGCCATCCCCACTCGTAACACTAGTTTTACACGTTTTCGTTGCATCCCCTAAGGAGATGAGTCGCCAACCGCGACATCCATGGAAGTTGTGATGTCCACGACATCCGCGGGGATTGGGGCCACTATTTGGGCGGCAACTCATCTCCTTTTCATGCTGTTTCACATGTGTTGGGCCATGTACAGGCGATAGGAGATGAGTGGTTTCCGCGATTATCATGAGGAGATGACGCGTAACACTCGTTAGGGGATGAGTCACTGGCCACAATGTCCACGGATAATCACAATGTCCACAGGAGGTCGCGATGTCCACGAAAACAAGCCATCCCCTTAGGGGATGCAACGAAAACGTGTAACACTCGTTAAACGCATTTAACTAGTTTAACTAGTAAAACACTGATTAAACTCATTTAACGACCTGCCCACTTGTTGAATGTGTGGGCCACTTGTGAAACGAGTGGAGAATGTGTGAAATGAGTAGAGAACATGTGAAACAAGTAGGGAGATGACTCTGTTTCACAACCATCGTGGACCTCCACAGAGATTACAACTACCCACGATCATTGTGGACTCCACGATAGTCGCGATTATCGCGATTATCGCTATAATCGCGTTTGTCCAGGGGTTTTAATGGTGCCAATATAAATAAAACCATCTCCTCTGCACTGGTCCTCGACCATCGCGACTACCCGCGACTTTTGCGATCACCACGATCATCGTGGACCTCCGTGGAGGTCGCGACTACCTGCGATCATCGCAGCTGGAGAGTCATCTCCTAGCAAACGTGTGAAACAAGTAGCAAACGCGTGACACAAGTAGAGAACGTGGGAAACGAGGGGGATGAGTCGCTGGCCACGATGTCCACGGATAATTGCAATGTCCGCAGGAGATCACGATGTCCGCGGATAATCACGATGTCCGCGGATAATCGCGATGTCCGCGGATAATCGCAATGTCCGCAGATAATCGCGACCGCCTACTCTTCACCATGGGGAGGTCACGATTATCCATGGATGATCACAATGTCCGCGGGAGGTCGCGATGTCCATGGGAGATCACAATGTCCATGAAAACAAGCCATCTCTGAGTAAAAACTGTGTGGAATGAGTAAAACCTGCGTGGAATGAGTAAAAAACGCGTAAAAGACGAGTAAAACGAGTAAATAATGAGTTAAAGGAGTAAAAAAACGTGTAAAAAATGAGTAAAATGACCACAGGGGACGCA